CAGGACTAAGCTTTTGCAGGGAGGAGGAACTCCAAGGTGCAAAGCAAATTTCATCTTTCCCGAAGTTCCTGCCCCTCCTAGGCTTAGTTTTGAGGGATGCCCTATCCTTACCATATTTATGAAGATGGAACCAGAGTACACATAAGAAACCGACCTGTCACTCCACAAGAGGATATTTTCTCGCGATTTTTTTATATTAATACATTATATTATCTTTTCAACTTCCCATGGAACTTTGAATTGAGACCCAGATATATCGATAGAGCTTCAAACGCTGATTACAAATATGGAAACTAAAACTGCAAAATGAACCTGCCAAGGAAGTTGTGAGCAGTCAAAGTTGGCTGGAAGTAAAGCATTACACCGTGCTAGCCTCCGGGCTTTCAAAGTCGCCGTGGAGTAGTGGTAGTGCTCTCAAAATTTGCACTCCAAGGGAAGAGAACTCATGACCTGCGGCTGAAAAGCGAGAGCACTACCACTACTCCACGGCGACTTGAAAGCTAGCACGGCTCATGTAATGCTTTACTTCCAGCCAACTTTGACTGCTCACAACTTCCTTGGCAGGTTCATTTTGCAGTTTTAGTTTCCATATTTGTAATCAGCGTTTGAAGCTCTATCGATATATCTGGGTCTTAATTCAAAGTTCCATGGGAAGTTGAATGCCTTCCCTGGTTAGTCCCAAGTGCTGTAAGTGGCTCACTGACTTGAATGTACCCCCCTCCCCGAAATGAAGCGCCCAGATTTTGTCACTTTGTCAAAGCACTAAAAAGTTTGCAGACTTCGCTCGGAAACCCAATAACGAACAACCGAAATGAGTGCGTGTGTCAATCATGAATGATAACTTGCCGTTCATGCAACAAGTATAAAAGTAGAGAAGTAAAGTAGTAAAGGAGAAGTATAAAAACAATAAAACAAATAACTTATGTTCGGAAACATGGCAACATTAATTTAAGATTGCATTCAGTGTGCTGGCCGGTTGACGGACTACTTGAACTCAGCCCTTTACCGCCTCTGCGCTCTCTAGCGGGTCCCTCTCCTCTCCAAGGCTTAGTCCTAGGGCATTCTCTAATCGTCTGTGCTCTAGCCATCGCGGCAGGACCATTGAGGAAAAATCAAGTAGTCCGTAAACCGCTTTGGCGACCACCTATATTTTTCCATGAAGAAATGCTCGCACCCTCATCGTCAGTCCACGCAGCATTCTCTGGACCATGCACAATTGACAGGGTGATATCGGTCGAGGATTCCTCAACGGCACGTCGAGGATTTTCGCCTGATCAGTTACGTTCTCTCGCGCGGACATTCACACTCGCCATGCGCGAGCCGTCTGTGCTCTCCGCGCGTACGTTCACTCTCGGCACTACTCTCGCACAGTAGAGAGCCATGGTCGAGGATTCCTCGACCGTTATTCATTCTGCACATTGGTCATTAGTATTTTGTTCGCTAAGAGAACAAGTTTTATGTGTGACCCCGTTCGATAGCACCTGGCGATGGTTCAGTGACTTTGATGAAATAGATGGGGATGAGTACAGAGTGAAAACCAACACCTTTACAGTATAGCTGTAATTCTAGACATGAGACCGTGCGAGGACCTCGACGAGACACAGATAGTGATATAAAGAAGACACCACATTGAAGTAAAAGGAAAATAATAATGACAGGCAGCCTGCTTTAAATTGTTCTAATTGTTACTAGTAGTCCCTCGCATCTATTATTTTGATTTGCGGTGATCTTAACGAAGTTGCATGACAAGCGCAAATTGGAACTACCCTCGCCTTCAAATGACCAGAAATTGTGCAATTGCAGAAATTGACGTGGCATTAACGTGGCATCGATTCAAGAACATCTTTGAGCACACGTGATGTCACCTTTTCATCGAGAATTTAGCCACGTGTGCCACGTGGATTTCTGGCTGCATGAAAAGAGTGTAAGTTTTACTATTAGGTTGTCCCATAATTAGTGAATCACTTTGGGTATTTTTGAATTCAAATTTTTTTCTTTTTTATGTGGAGTCTTTGCTCATCCAAACATACATCTCTGTCATCTACAATGTATTGCCTATACAAGGAAATTTAGTTGCTGTCTTATCTCTAGAATTCCAGGAGCTATTGATCGAAGAAAGATCGGAAGTCGAGTTTGAGGTCATGTCACTTAGCGTAAAGTTTCTTCCTGGAGAAGAGCGCTAGAGGTCAGACTGAGTTGTCTTTTGTTGACACGAGGATAGGGCCACATATAGGAGGTGAAAGAAGTGCTAGCCTGGAAGTCTCCAATTTTTTATGAATATTCTCCGCAAGGTGGGGTCGAACGACCTCAGGAAAAAGCAGACTTTGTCTTGCTTTACTTTCAAATTGAACGCGTCGCCATTACGCTGTAGATGTTGATCTTCTTCAGTGACCCTAGTATTACTGGGCGGCGGTTCCCAGCGTAAGGTCACTCTCGTGCTCATACAATATCTCGGAAGGGTCGGACTCAAAGGGGGTTCGGCTTTTGCTGTCAGAACTCCCGAACCCTTCATGCTAAGCTGCTGCTTTTGGAGATTTGCTAGTACACTCCACCCAGTCCAGAACCCTGATGCATATGCTGGATGATCACTGTAAGGAACTAAGGGAGATCAGAAGGAACATGATGATGTCAGATCGTGTGTGGAGCTGTTTCGGGCTCAGAGCATACAAGATACAAACTAAATATTTTAAAATCTTTACAACTCTACGTAGATGTCTACATTCCATCATTTTAACAAGTCGGACATGCTCTAGCAAATGGCGACTAGTTTGTCCAGATCCACCCTCAGTGGCGCTGGGTACAGCAGTGAGATTGCCAGTTGAGGGGTAGTTGGAGTGTGGGTCATCTTCAACTCAAAAAGCCAACCTCTCGATAGAGTGAATTACAAGCAGACCGTGGATTGAGGGAGCGTGCCCTCGCCTATCCGCTGGTTGATTCTCTATGTTGTTGGGCGTTTGAAAGATCCTAATCAGAAGTGATTAAGAAGGGAGCTCAAAAATAGGTTCCAGAAAAATTGAAGTATCAGCCACGGAAAGGCAGCATGTAAATGGGCTGAGTAATTGCTCAGGTAGGATAATGTGGATGCTACTTCGCAAAACATGTTTCACGCCTTCACCATTTTTCTTGGATTTTTAATAACAATAAATGTAAAGTGATTCACTAATTATGGGACAACCTAATATTTTTTTGCATGGTGAACGACAATCCCAATGTTTCGCCATGCATTGGTAAGTATGAAAGTGCACTGCTGACGTAGGATCTTTCCTAAACCAAGAAAGAGTGGCAAAAAGGGCTCTTTCAGTAAAGGTGGAGGGGGGTGGCATAGTGAGACAGTTGATAGTCCGCCTACAGAAATTCCAAGTTTTGCAGGAGTAAGAAGTCCCAAGAATGCGTGGGCCGTGTCGCTTTCGCTTTCAGGGCGCACACGACGACAGCAACGATCGTAACTGTCGCACAGCATTGGATGCGTATCGATCGTCGGACTTGCCTGAGTATTCGACGATTAGATGCAGTTAGACAGTCAGACAGTTGCGATCGTTGCTGTCGGACGACCGACTATGCGTGCGCCCTCAACCCACACCAAAGCTCCCTTCACTTGCAAAGAAAATGGACTTTAGGCGATATGAACTGGGTTTACGGGCTATTTGATTTTTCCTCAATGGTCCTGCAGCGATGGCTAGAGCACAGCGATTAGAGAATGGGGCCGTATGCTGAATGTTGGGTAGGGGCTGGGGTCCCCGACCCGCGATGCTGAATGTTGGGGCTCCCAGCAGAGTTTCGTCGCGGGACCTACAGGTGACTGGCCAGTCCTTTAATTCTGTGATGAAGTTTTTGTCTTTTCACTGTTCTAGATTACAGATTCGTCCACGCACACATTGCCATATTGAAGTAATACACCAATATGGCACGAAGTAATAGAAGGCGCGAACCAAACTTCAGTCTAAAGTAGTGAATGGACAGACTGGCAAGATTACGGCAATTACAGCTAGACGTACACGAACGCTCCAGTATGTGAAGAGAATCAAAGGATAAACTAAAGCAATTACAACAATATAGCTGCATATACGTGGACAAATCTACAGTGTAAAACAGTAAAAAGGCGAAAACGTAATCGTAAAATCAAAGGACCGGTCAGTGGCCGCCCGGTCCCGCGACGAAACTCTGCTGGGAGCCCCAACATTCAGCATCGCGGGTCGGGGACCCCAGCCCCTACCCAACATTCAGCATACGGCCCCCGGTTGAGTGCCGCTAGGACTGGAAGCTTGGAGGAGAGAGGGACCCCGGGGTAGCGCAGAGGCGGCTTCATGATAGGGCTGAGTTCTACCTGAAGTCCGTCGACCGCGCTGTCATGGGCAACCTTCCCCCCCACCCGGATGGGAACCCGTAAACGTACTTGCGCAAACCGAGAACGGACCGAAGAGCGCGCAAGACCGGTGCGGCATTCTATAGTGTCTTAGGCAATAACGAGGTAATATCTGTATTGAAATCGACCCTAACAGCTCTGCTCGACGATTATTTATAGAGGCACGCGGTTGGCAAATCTATTTTCCAGAAAAAACATTAAGAAACGCCTGGAACTGTCCAGTGATCTAAAACCAGGTATGTTAGGGAAATTCTCATTAGGTACAAGGTCAATAGTAGGTGTACGCCACTTCGGCTTCGCCTGCGCAATTAGGAACTGAACCTCACCGAAGCACAGGAACCGAATCTAACCGAAGCATAAGAGCTGAACCTCACCGAAATGAATCCTTACTTGATCATGGACACCTGAGCACCCACCTTTTTTTACAGAAAAGATACCATTCTCCCTTCTAATAGCTGGGTGCGAAACTAGAGGGTATCTTTTGAAACACAGCTGTCATACAGAAAACATCCAGAAGAATCAGTAAGTAAAATATTCTCGTCATCAAGAAAGAAACTCTAGACATTACTTCAATAATGCGTTTTACACACGCTGACGTGAACGAGGACGTAACAAAAGCAGAAAAAGTTTTTTTTTATTAAAAATCGAAGACCGAGGTATCAACGTTGTGGCACTTTCAATGAAAGGAAATCCATGGAAAAGATACAAAATGGAGCTATAATTTTTTAAAAGCTAAAGGTCCTTAAACGTACACGCACCAGGACACTGTTCAGTCCACACCTACAAATAATTGTGAGGATTTCTTCCACTGAGGTCTTCCACAAAATTATATTAGATTTCTCATCGCATTATAACTGAACACATTTTGCATCGGATGATCGGGTGATTTTTTCATTTGCTTTTCGCCATCGCACAATGAAAACAGAAAAAAAATCGTGAAATAAAGCTTCAAAAATTGGAAAGGTGAAAATCAATACATATTAAACTATTTGACTTCAGGAACATCAAGACACAACTCTACACATTCCATTTCTTTCGGAAATGACCAACGGATGCTCATTTTCGAAGTTGTGTTAATGAAGCACGACGAGTAAATAAACGTGCAGCACAAAGGCGCTCACATTCACGTCCAAACAATCAGGGACAATACAAGTCCGAGATATGTCTATATATAGAGAAGTATGTTCAAAACAGCTGACTTTAAGAATGATAGCGCCAGTAAATGTGATGGTTATTGATTGAATGAATGAAGGGGCGGTGTCGAGTTGGCGCTGGAATCGATGCCGCAGTGAGTGCGCGGCATGGCGCACGACTCGCAGGTCGCCAAAGTAACAGTTCCACAGCAGGTGAGTGGTTCCGCTCCTTCAAAGTTAAGCGATAATGAGCTCAGATTTGGGGCTGGCAATGTTTCTGTCACTAGATGGGTCCAATTATATCGTCTGTTGTTGTGGTTTGATGTGCGATGAGCTCAATATTCTTCCAATGCTGTCGTTTATAGCTTTTAGCATAGTCAGCCATTGTTTTCATTGGTTTCACATTTCATTTCAAGATTATGTCGTTTGTTTTCGTAACCGTTGACTTGGCTGAAGTACGTCGTCATAAAATTGATTTACTTAGTTCGTTCTACGATTCCGCAGTTGCGGAAATTATGCGTTGAGGAGATCTTGATAAAAAGTGATAAATATTGCTACTTTCACAAGCAACTCATAGTGATTCGGATTTCCTCCATTTTCCCACAGATAAATAGCTTTGAAAAAGTCTGTAGTTTCTTATGTTTATGGGCGAAGTGTAATGTGTATGCCATGGGAGCGACGGCTTCATCACCTTTTTGTCTGCGTACTTTGTTGTCTTGTTCCATGCATTAAGTCCGAAAATTGGCCCTCGTCTAAATCTCAACCTGGCGCTCATGTCGTTTAGGAGGGGGGGGGGCATTCGAGTGAGTAAGTCACTTAGTATTTGGGACTAAGCTTTTGAGAGGCAAAGGGTTTTGGGGGAGGATATGAGCGATTTTTGTGCTCCCTGGCTTACTCCCCTCTCCTGGCCTTAGTCTTATAGTGCCAGCTACCAGCGGTTTTTGAATGCCCTGTTTAGTCCCCCCTGAACATGAGCGCCCTAAACCCTGAATTTTACTGGACGAGTTCGCGCAGCATGCCTCAACAGTTTTTGAGTTCGTTGTGGGACCGAAGCGTACCATTATTTGCCACTGAGCTATATTTATCATGCAATAACTCCAGTTTGGTACCAGGGTTATATAAACCCGAAATCGCAAAGCGGTGGGAGCTCACAATATTTACACCTTAACGACAGGTGCTCAAAATCCCTTGGTCTGCGCCCTTTAGGCAGTTGTGCTGAGGGAATGTAGATTTAAAGAAGGCTGAGCAGTTTCGAGTTTTACTGCATTGCAAAAGGAAGTTGGGGTACGGAGAGGGGGTTCCTATGATAGGAACAATGTCTCTGGACGAAGAAGAGGAAAGGTCTTTTTCGTAATGGCGAAAATTTTGCGAAAGGGAATTTGACCCACCCACGTCCAAAGCTATTCCTGCTCAGGCTGTCTAAATCCCTCAATAAAAAAGACCGTTTTGCAGCAGTGGGGGCATCGGGCCCAGTGCAACTGCAAGGGACTAAAACTCGTGCCGATTTCCATTTGGCCACTTTATTAGTCCTCTTAGTCGCTCTTCTTTTGGCACAAAGGGAACGGATCGTTCACCCGTCCTTCCTTTACAGCGAATATTGATTAACTGTTCCGAGGTAGCGTAAATTCTGCGCACACGGATGTCCCCTCTTCGCCCACTAATATTTTCGGCTTGCAAAAAAATCGGGAATAGGGTGACAGTCGACTCGTAGGCCAACGCAATGCTTTTGTTATGGTTTCTGGATGTGGTTCAGTAGGGGTAGACAACTTTTTTTTCGCGTTTGCAGCGCGAACTTTTTGGGGCAGCAACCTCAGGTCCACGCTTACTACAATGGACCGAAGTTCCTGAAGTGATAGATATTTTGCGCTGGCGACCACGCGTAAAAGTCGGTTTCTTTTCCTAAGTGCGCCACATCGCTGATTTTCTGATCTAATTTTTTTTGGCACTTGTCGTTATCTTACGGGGCCATCTTTCTAGACCGCATGCATTGAGAGGATACTGGGGATAAGATGAAATTGCTCACTCACTGGAAAGCTCTTCTTTCCACCTGAATGATCATTTTCGTTTTCCTTTTATTACGTTGTTTGCTCTTTCTCAAATTTTGGATTTGCTTCGGCTTGCGCGGTGCTTTATCGCAAAACGTGTTCTACATGTTGATTTAGTATTATTCCGAAACTTTCCTTTGTGAATATCTGTCTTAGGCGCAAATCAGTCATTGGCGTTTTGCTCGTTCGGCAGACTTTCCAGTGCTACACTGCTTTCCACACATTTCTAAGTGAGTAAAGGTGTACTCGCCTCGTGCGCTTTGAAGTTCGCTATCGTTCCTCATGGGTTCACGAGCTTTTGGCAATTCTGAAAAATTACTCCCGCTTCCCCATACAAATTGGCTTCATTCGCTTTGGCTCACGGATGTCCCGTCTGCCATCGTCTGAAGCAAACGTGGGTGTGGTTCACTAAGACAGAAAGCGGCTTTTTCGCGTTTCGCAGCGCGAAACATTTTCCCCTGGCAAGGAACCTCCAGGTCCACGGGCGACGGACTATACAATCGTCGGCTAATGAGGTCACGCCGCTCACGCGGCGAGAATCGTCGCGTGCGGCAGTTGCTGCGGCGATTTCTGTGTGGACCTTTTCTTATCCATCCATGCCCATAAGTTGGCTAGGTGACTGATAACACCAGAGTGCTGGACATCAGTAAGCCAGCAAGCGTCACTGTAAGATCCCTGCAGTGATTTAAGCCTCGCAGTACAAACTTTGTACCGTGTAAAGGTTGTCCTTTTGGATTTAATTTGACTTCTTTATTAATCAGTTTCCTGAATTTCTATCAGAGAGTGATAATCTGGTTCAATCGGAAAGAATATTGCGTATCAAGACACAGAGTAGCGGCGAGGAAGGCTCTAACATAAGCATGATATGATAAGTATGTAATAACGGCGAGCGAAAACGAAATAACTCAATTTTGTTAAAGGGTAAGGTGGTCTATTTCATGTTTTATGAAGGGAAACATCATCTAACCTTACATTCCCTAATGTTTGGATGCTGAGTTCTTTGCGAATTCGCCGCGATATTGCTGGCTGCGGCGGCTGGCGCGGCGACCTACTTACTGCCACGATTGAATAGTCACGCACCCCCCCCAGGTCCGGCTGTTGGCTCCAGTGACCACAACTGGCACGAACAATGTTCTGCGCTGCGATAATCGCGTGAAGACAGAGTCGCAATTCTGTTCTAAGTGAACCACCCCTGTGGGTGTTGTCCTCTCCTCCAGCCCGGTAAGAGAAACTTCATAGTCCGTAATCTTCCCTTGACCCCCCCGCCCAGCTTCAATAGCTCAATTCTTCGTATGGGTTTCATCGACATCATAACAACTTTCAGTTGTCATGGGCAGTTACTGAGGCAATAGCAATGAGTGTGCAGAAGGGGACATAGGCCTGTCCCAAATTAAGTGCATAGTTCGACCTAAAAAATTATGCCATTCGTTTTTTCAGTTGAAGTTAGGCTCGCTTCTTTCTATGAATCATCAACTCTTGATCCATAGTAGTGAGGCAGAACAGAAAATAAAATAAAACAGAAAATTTCCTCCTACAAATTCTTTCGAAAAAAAGTAATGTGATGATTCGATAAGCTGCTATGGTATCCTTCACGACGAGTGAATTAGTAGCGAACAGTATGATACATTGGCCCGGAAATCAACATAGATCCCCTTGCAGCGGAACACCATGCAAGTGTAACTGTCGATTGACGTGAAGGGTGTTGACTAAAGATTGATGTACCATTTTCAGTTATACTGCCGGATTTCGCAGCTGAAGTGCCGTCCCATAGTAGAAGATAAGGAATCATCATCGTTAAGTCGCGATGTGAGTCATCTCGTTTCTTGGGTATTTTCAACTTTATTGTTCATTCCAATTCGAAACTGAAGGCTCTTTTTTATTTTTTATTTATTTCATGTATATTTCTTAGCAAGCACGTACGGAAGCATGTGTATTCTATTTGTTGAACAAAGAAAAACAAAAAAAAATACACAGCTGGTACGGCAAATTTTCTCCCGCGCTTTCACCTCATCCCATGTAATTTGCGCTACGAACAAGGACTGCCTCCCCCACCCCCCCACGCTAAAACTTAACTAAACTGCGACCGCCGCCCCCGTTGTTACTTTGTAGGCAACCGTAGGGTTTGACCCCTGCTGCTACTTTGAGTTTAGTATCAAAGGAGCTATGAGACAAGAGCCCTCCTCTCGTCACACCAAGGAATAAGGCAGAGGCCATCAGGGTAGAGATAATGGGTGAGCAACCGGTCCAGATGACATCTCTGCAGGAGTACTCGAGGAACCTCTTTCAGGGATGTACGCCAGAATTAGGAAGTTAGGCAAGATTGGTCGGATGCAATGAAGATCCTGGCTTTGACACGACGTTCATATTGCTCGTTGTATGATAACGCCAGTCAAGAGTTTCTATAAAGTACTTCGAATGGCTTTTCTGAATTTGGAGAAAAAGACTATGACAGAGTGACGTGCTATCAATCCGGTAAGCCCTTGTCATGGTCGAACCCTACAATCGTCGTTGAAGCTGTTACGCTGACCTCTCTCAACTCCACTACACACTGCCATCCACACACTGTGGGGACCCTTCACAGCTCCTGTTCTGGGTTGGAGTAAATTTGTGGTTCGATTGGAGAAATATGAACGACAAATCCAGCACCGGAAGTGAATCATTGAGCAGATTTGGGAGGAAAATGTGGGATCAGCATTCCAAAACTTTTGTAAGAGTACGCTCTCATATCTAGCGGTCGTGGGGACTTTGAGCAGTTTTAGTGAGGATTTTTTTCCTGGCTCCTCCATCGACCCTGGAGACCTAATTTGGTGAGACGTGGCCAAGAATGGAACAATATTTGGTTGTTCGGTCTAAAGCACGTGAATCCGAGAACCGCGCAGGGACTTGAGAATGAGGTCGTATTGGAAAGGAAGACTTAGTATCTACTGATTCTTTTTTCCATCTTGAAAGTAACCATTTCCGCAGTGGACCACTGTGCGATGCGTATACACTATTCACATGACATTGGGCACAGGTAAGCATGGACAAGAGCTACCTGTGGAAGATTCGCACTCACCGATTTCCTACATCTATAAGCTCAGATATTCCATAACTTTGCTCAGGAAGAGGTTCATTGCAGTTCCTTCCACGAGTTTTGATGGGATTCGACTCCGCGGTTCTTTTCTTCGCATTGTGACCTATCATTAGTGAATGTTGATTAGTTTTGTTTTCAACATTCGATTGAATCCTATTGATATCCTCTGCAACGTTGTGAGAGAAATTTTTTCTTGGACGGCTTTTTTGAACGGAAATCATTTTTTTAGTTGAGAAGGACGTGCACATTTCATCCATTACCAGTGAATCTGCAGTGCAGACTCAGGCATCATTAGGCACTTGGTATCAAAATAATCAAGATCATCAAAATCACGCGTGGCATTGACCTTTCTGAAGTCTTCTCCGCGTGTCTACTGATTGGGTAGAACAGAGTAGTACTTGGCGAAGTTTCAAAAAAAATGAGGATGATTATTTTATCCTACGCCTATATAACTGAGTCTGCATTGCAGTCTCGAGCTGTTTGCTCCAGTTTACTTCCCACTCGTTTCGGACTTCCATACCAAGCAAACTAAGTAATAAGTTTTTTTGCGAGTAATGTTGGTTTTCTCGTTCAGGTTGTGGCGCAAAATCGGTATCGCTGCAGAAGCCACTCTCTGAAGCCCTGGAGTTGCAACAACTTCTTCACTCAAGCATCATGGAAGTGAGTTCGAGAATAAATACTGCTTACATGTAAACTAATTTTTTGAGGATATATCAGCCGTTTGTTTCGGGAACTAGACGGATGGTGATCCTCAAAACATTAGTTTACATACTATTACTTTTACTTTTTTTTACTTTTACTTTTTTGCATGAACCCATTTAATAATTTTGAAAGTCGAGTCTAACATGGAAAGTTTAAAAGTTTTGATACATGAATTTCATACATTAGAATAACCATCCATTTGATTGATTATGCAGTCAAATGGTTCGTTAGTTTGGCGGCTAAGCCTCGCACTTTTCACAGGTGTTTTCATAATTTGGCCCATCCTTTGGGCCGAAATTCAGAGAAATTAGTGAGTTGAGCGCGAGCATTGAATTGCGATCGTCATGGGTTTTTTGTATCTTTCCTTTTTTGGTCGGAATTTCATTTCTTCCCGAAATTTGCACTTGGTGTTCTATAACTATACATGGGAAAGAAGAATTCGGTTTCTCAAACATGGTGCCCTCACTCCTGTTGCAAAGCAAAGTATTAAAATTTGAGTTTTACCAAATATCGTCATCGAGAACATTTCAGGTAAGTTTTACATTTTCTGATAAAACTTTTCACCACTAAGAATCGCAAGGTTCCGCCGCTAAGATAGGAACCGAATACCAATACGTTTTTTTTGTCATAGCGACCCTTACCTGAATTTGAAGAAGTTTGATGAGCTCTTCCTTAATTTTCTAGTTGATTTCGATTTTTCACAGCACAGGGTTCACCGGGGACTTTGTGTTGATGAAAGTAGCTGTGCAATTCTTAAACCTCTACTATATTATTCTTTGTTACTGAATTGATCATTGTTGTTCTAGGCATGTCTACAGGCTCATGATATCGTAATTTCGGAGGTGTATGATCTTGAAGATAAGGAGAGCTCCCATGAATCTGTCCCCGTGCCGTTGAAGGTATTCCTTTTTTTCTTTTATTTTCCTATAAAATGGATTATGATTTTATTACAAATCAACTAAAGGGAAGACCCACGCTGAACATGATGAATAAAATGATGTAGATTTTTTAAGAACTTGGCGATAAACAGGTTGCCAATAGAAGTGCGGGTGACTCTAAAGTAGAAGCCAGCCTATGTAGAAGGAAGTTTTGCGAGCAAACTCTTAACTGGGGAATTCTGCAACTGGGATCGCACCCCCCCCTTATCCTCTTGCAAATGTTTTGGAAACTTCTCTCGGGTTGCGCTCGTTGAAAGTTTGAAGGATTGCGTGCACGCTACTGCCGTTTTTGAAGTCCTCTTGCACCACCTATTGTGTCGCAGTGATTTCCAAATTCACCGCTGAGAAAATTCCAAGTCCTCTCATCTTGAAACCTCGGCATTTTTATTTTTTATTGACGTTGTTGTATTTATGCTTCTGCCTCTAGGTTTTTGAGGTGGGAAGTCTATTCTGGCCAACGTTTCGAACAACTCACCATTTGCAAAGGCCTAAATATGGCTCAAAGCTTGAAAGTTGCACACTACCCCATCAAATACCTCCTCCGCTCTAGCGTTTTTTTTACCTAGTTTCCACTGCGAAGTGTAGCCTTGTGCCGCACACGCATTCAGTACAGTTAATTATTAGCGAACGGTGTTACTTTGCTGTCCTTGTGCAATCCTGATATTGCGAACAGGCACGTTCGCAGATCTGCAATCCTAGTGCCTGTCTGCAATATTAGGATTGCATAAGGACAGCAAATTAACATCATTCGCTACTCATGTACTGACCGGGTGTAGCGCTCCGCTACACTTCGCGCTGGGAACTAGGTGAACTTATCTTTTGGGTTTGGGTGTCTCCCGTGCGTTCCTTACAGAACGTCAGAACCGCTAGAGTGGAAGGAGGCGTTTAGTGGAATAGTGTGTATTTTTCAAGCTTTGATCCACGTCAGGCCTTCAACGAGACGGTCGAAAAGTTGGCTAGAATAAACATATCACCACTGCGTTTTGAAAACTCAAAATTCTGTCCCTGCTTTTCGGTTCTGCTGTTACGATATTCCCCTGTTTTTCACTTTCTACGAGTGCACTTTACTCGTATCGAAAGGAAGTGCTGGGCGTGAGGGTGACGTTCCGCAGTTTATTAAAGTGGTGAGGGATCGCTAACAACGTTAAGTTTTTTGACGCGAGACGTGAACCTAGCAATAGTCACTTCTTAAATAAAATTTCTGTTATGAATAAATAAGGTGGTTTCGTTTAAGAGCGGTCGTGATAGCTTTCTCAATGGTGAAATGTATCCGGTGGAATCGAAGGAAACTGGTACCTCCAAGGACGATCTGTTTCCTACCTCATTCGGAGGTATTTCTTAATTTATAAGCACTTATTTGGGTTTCCCTACGGTTCAATTCGACGTTTCCTGTCTTGTTTGCTTCTGCAAGCTTACTAGGTACGTGTTCGGGCCTCAAATGCATATGAGAATTGCATTTAGCAGGTGATGAGAGTGACGATCCATTGATGGATTCTATCGCAAGAATTCGATTGGTTCAATTTCAAAAAGATGGTGACGAGCCTATGGGAATAACGCTCAAGGTTCGTGAGAGGTCATCTTCATAAGAACATACATATGCATTTGTCT